TGGGTGACCAGGGCCTAAACCAGCAAAATCCATGGGAAATGAGACCAGGGTTTTCAAGTTTGTGTGCTTGCCTTAAAGTAAAACCGAAACACCCCCAAATCTACATCCCCAGCAGATGGGGGCTGTGTTCTCAAATGAACATGGGTAGATTTATAAGTTGTCTTAAAGGTGCCCTTTGAACAGTTTGAAGTGCTCTGTTGTTCTGGGATGAGGTCATCAAACTGCTTACGACCTTATTTATGTTTTCACAACTGACTGAAATGTACAGTTGTCAACAGATTAAATCTGCAGAACAGTCACTGGGGTTGTTAGAGACTCTCTGTATGTCAGCTTCTGGCTTCTGGCTTTCTTCTTTGGGTGTATTCAAATTGTTAGGTTTTTCTTTTCTTCCTTATTTAGGAAATAGGTCTTTTTTTTTTTTTTTTTTTTTTTTTTTGTAGTTGTTCTGTTTTGTTTTTTGAGACAGGGTTTCTCTGTGTAGCCCTGGCTGTCCTGTAACTCACTCTGTGGACCAGGCTGGCCCTAAACTCAGAGATCCACCTGCCTCTGCCTCTAGAGTACTAAGATTAACGGTTTGTGCCGCCACTACCCAGCTGGAAATTGATCTTTTATTTAAAGAGTTGGTAGCAGATACTGTCATGGTGTTATGCTATGCGGCCCCCCACCTCCAGGCACCCGCATTGGGAATTTGGAAACCAGAGCATCTGGCTTTGTAGCCCAGGTAGGCCTTAACTCAGAATCTTCCTGCCTCTGCCGCCCAGATTCCAGGGTCACAGCGCCATTACACCAAAGCTAGCATCTTACTTCTAAGACACTGGCAACTCTCCCTGAGAGGTTTTTTTGGGTTTTTTTGTTTGGTTGGTTTTTTGTTTTTGTTTCTTTCCTAAGTTTTGTTGTTGTTGTTGTTGTTGCTGTAATTGTATGTATAAGTATAATCTCACTTGTTCAAATATTTGTACCACACCCCACACGTGGAGGTCACAAGGACAACTTGGAGGAGTCACTCCTCCCCTTCTACCATGTGGCTCCCAGGGACTGAACTGGGGTCATCAGGCTTGACGGCAGGTACTCTTAGAAGCTGGACCGTCTCACCGGCCCCTGCAAGCACAGGCTAAGCCCAACCAGTGACCCCACCAGTGCTGAGGAAGGCCCGTCTCTAGGCTGTAGGCCGAGAGTCAGCGTAGGCAGGGTCTTGGTTTCTGCTGCAGAAGAGTGCTCACTCTTGGGATTGGCCATCTCCTTTGTGTCTATGCTTTTGCTTCTTGAGATAGGATTTAACCCTAAATGGTCTAGGCTGTCCTTGAACTTGATCTTCTTGCCTCAGCCTCCCAAGAATGTAGATATAACAAGTCTGCCATTACAACCTGACCTGGGTAGTAGATTTCGTTAAATGATGTCATGCTCCCTACAAAGCTAAATTCTTTGTTATATGAACATGAATATAATACCTGAAAAAAATACATTGTAGCTGACCCTGGGAGGTAGAGGCAAGAGGATCTCTGAAAGTTCAAGTCCCACCTGGGCTATGTAACAAGATCTTGTCTCGTAAAAAAACACCGAGGCCAGATACCACAGAGTAGCACAGTAGGACAGCCCCTGTCATCTACTGGGTGGATTGGCGTCTTGATACAGGCCAGGTGGAGGCTGAAATCCTATCCTAACTGTCTTCGCCAGGCTCAGGCTGCCACTGCCTGGCAGAACAGGGTTCCTCCTTCTGGCTTCTACAGAGGGTCCTCTGTGCGTTCTCAGGCTGCTTTGTCAAACAGTGTGCAATGTAGGAATCATCTCTGTTTCATTCTCAACCTTCATGATTTGTCCTTTGGGAAAGGCAGAGAAAGACAGCGAGGTATAAGAAAGCAGGAGGCAGGGAGGGCCCAGATGCAGCAGTCAGTGGAGGGCAGTGAGGCAGGAGAGTGGATGGCTTACTCAGACAAAATGCCCCAAGTGGGGTCCCTGTGGCTGCAGTCAGTATCTGCTGGGGCCTGGAACCTCAGGAGCCTCCCCTTTCCTGCTCTTTCCTCTGCCGTCTCTAGTTCCTGTCCTCTGGCCCATCACTGGAACATGAATTGCTATGCTTGCTGGGGAACTTTCTAAAGCCTTTTCATTTAAAATAATGATAGGTTTGCAGGAAGTTGCCAAGCTAGTCTGAGCAGTGTCAGCCAGCATTCTCCACTGTTGTGACACACATAATTACAGTCTGGTAGCAGAGCCAGGAAATGAACATGGGTACAGTGGGTGCATAACCATCACAGGCAGGACACAGGGGCCTGCGCTACCCCTTGTCGTCATCATCATCATCATCATCCTTTCCTCCACAACCCCCACACATTGTCCATCCTCACGTTATCATTCCAGAGAACACCGCATAAGGGGCTGGAGAGGGAAAAGAGAATATCATATAAACTGTTGTGTAATGTGACCTTTTCGGACTAGTGCTCTTCGTGTAGAGTGGCTACTCTTCATTTAGAATGGCCAGGCTGCTATGGCCATTGGCTCCAGAGCTAAACCCATCACCTTTTTTCTCTGTGTTAGGAGGATGGAACACAGGGCCTCCTGCATGGTAAGTGAATACTCCACCCCTGAGCCACACCCCATCACTACCCATTCCTTTTTATTGCTGAGTAGTATTCTAAAGCATGAATGTTCCACCACCCATACCATACGGACCTTCTTGTGAAGGTTTTTGTAAACAGATTTTGGGTTCTCTGGGATGAATGTTTGAGAGGGAGGCCCGTGGGCTATTATAATTCGTTTAATTTTCTGAGCTGCTTCTGAATCTCCCAGCACCCTCACCCTCACTCAGTGCTGGGTCCTCCCTGTGTAAGTGGTCATGTCTTCAGTCAAGGCCTTGCTCTGCTTTCCCAGTCTGTGAGTATGTGGGCATGTGGGCCTTCCTTCACATGTGACTCACTGGCTGTGCCTGCTCCCCTGACACCCCGGGATGTCCTTTACCCAGTTCCTGTCTGGGCTAGAAACAGTTGAGTTTGAGTGCTTACATTTGTTACTGTGGTGGGTACGGAGCACAGGTACATGTGTGGCGCCCAGAAGACAGCTTGAGGGAGTTGGTTCTTTCCATCATGTGGGTCTAGCGGGTTGAACGTAGGTGGTCAGGCTGTAGTAAGCATCTTTACCTGCTGAGCCATCTCACCACTCCAGGTTGGCGTGTTCTTCATAAGTTCTAAGCATAACTCCACTGTCAGCTGTGTGCTTGGCAAATGTTTTCTACCATTGTTGAGTGCGTGATAATGTGGGTGCAATCACCCCGGCTCCAAGGGGGCAGCACCTCTGCATGCCATTCCTGTCAGTTAGACCTGCAGCAAAGACAGGTCCACCTCGGTGGACAGTAGTGGAAGCAAAGCAGCAGCCCAGGGCTACAGTTGAGCTCTGAAGAAGGCACAGTTGACGAGGGCCTGCCCTCTTAGGAAAAGAGCAGCAGAAACCATGCACTTTTCCTGGGCATTCGGCAGCACGTGCATGTATCACAGTAAGGCTGTTGTTGCTTGAGTTTAAAGGGGAAGTATGTGGAAAAGGGTGGTACAGGCCTGTCATCCCAGCACTCACCAGGTGGAGGTAGAAGGCTGCACAATTCAAGACCAGCCTGGACTGCATGAATTCCTGTGTCATAAATAAATAAATGAAATAAGTAGGGTTGGGGGCTTGGCGTGGTGGGTAAGAGCTCTTGCTGTGCATTCGTGGGATCTGAGTGTGATTCCTCTGCACCCACCTGAAAACTGGGCACACAGACCTATAACTAGCCCTGTGGGGAGGGGACTGGATTCTGGGGCTTAGTGCTACTGGCCTTCCTCCAGGTTCTTTGAGATAGATGCACAAGGTGGAGGGCCATAGGGCAGCACACGTCTGGCCTCCACGTGAGCGTACAGGCATGTGCACGCACACGCCCATACACCACACACGTAAAACAATGAAAAAGAGTAGCATGCCACATGCTCAGACAAGGCAGGCTGCGTGACCCGGGAGGGCTTTCCTACCATTGTCTTCATGGTGCCTCTGCTCCTCTCCACAGCACTGACCATGGGAGAGCCGAGTGATCCTCGGCCACTCACTGCAGACCTCACAGGCTCTGCCTGGCCAGTCCGAGAGGTGACCAGAAGCCTCCACTGACATGGAGTTCTCCCAGTCCCCCAGCACGGTTGTATTTAGGCTACTCCTCCGCCCCGTGACCTGTGTGCAAGGGAGGAAAGGGCAGGGAAGCACTCCTTTAATGGCAGTGAGGAAACAGTGGAAGAATGGAAAGAGTTTCAGCAGGCAGCACAGTGGAGCAGTCCATCTGGGGCTTCGGCTCCTGCCAGGGCGGGCTCAGCTCACGTCAGCTTAGTCTTTTCCAGGGTCGGGGTTGCTCACTGCCCTGTGTGCAGCACTTCCTGCCTGTGTTCAGTTGGGACAGCAGTTGTGTCTTATTAGGCGTTGACAGTCCTAGGACAGTGTGGCTGAGTTTGCCAGCACTCCTTCCCATGCAGCTGCTCCGTCCCAGGGCCTTCCTAGGAGGGAGGGAGGCCCTACACACTGGCCCTCTCTCGGCCTGTAGACACGGCTGCTGTTCTGCTTTCCTCTTGCTGCTGTGATAGTGTTCTGACCAAGAGCAATCTGGGGAATAGAGTTTCTTTCATCCCACACTTGAGGGTCACAGTCTGTCTTTGAGCAAGTCAGGGCAGGACTTGAAACAGAAACCAGAAAGAAACATGGCTCATTCAGTTAACTCTCTAATACAGCCCAGGACCACCTTGCCCAGCGTGCTGCTGCCCACAGTGTCCTGGGCCCCCCTGCACTGATTCATAGTCCAGACAATCCCCACAGAGCACTGAGACCTAGGCAGTGCCCCAGTTGAGGCTCTGCTCTCACGGGAAGAGGTGTGGTCTCGGAGATAGGAGGCATGCACTGGCTCAGCCTTGACACTGAGTGTCCGGCCTTGGCGGCCAGTGCTAAGGTTCTCCACTGTGGCCTCACAGCACAGTTAAAGCTTCCTTTCTCCCTCCTTCCAGGGCTCAAGAGTGCTTGTGGATGCTCGCGACAAGCTCGGTATTCCCTGGCAGCACTCTGAGAACGAGAAGCACGGGATGTTTCTGATGGCCTTCGAGAACAAGGCAGGGCTGCCTGTGGAGCCTGCCACCTTCCAGCTCTACGTGCCAGCCCTGAGTGCACTCTGGAGGGACTCCGGGATCAGGGAAGCCTTCAGCCGCAGGAGCGAGTTCCAGCTGGTGAGGGAGCCTTCATCCTCCTGATGATCCTGCCCCTGAGAATTTCCTTTAAAGCCCAGCCCTGCCATCCCCAAACTCACTCAGGAGGCTGGGGCAAGAGGGTCTCACACTCAAGGGCAGCCTGGGTTTTATAGAGAGCATATCAGACAAACAGAAAAAAAAATATTAATGGGTACAAACTATACCTTGCTACAAACCCTGATATTAAACAAAACACAGCAGAGGCCTGGCTGTCTCAGTGGTTCCAGGGAGAGCTCACTTCTTTTGGCACAAAGAGCAAAAGGTTCTTACCATAGCCCAGACTGGCGGCGCGCAGGGACTCGGGTTGTTCGGGCTACCTTGCCCACCACTAAAGCAGAGTTTCCTCCAGGGAGGCAGTGGCAGCCACAGGCCTCAGGTGTTCTCTGATCCCCTTGGCAGCCGTCCACCCTAGTCAGTCAGTCTCTGCAGTGTTGTTCTCTCCACTGAAGGGCCTGTCAGTCTCAGGAAGGCTAATCATTGCAGCCATTTCAGCTGCTAATGACATAGCTTGCAACCAGAAAATGTGGGATATTTTGCCTGCTTGTTTTTGGCGCACGGGGGAGAGGGGTTCCCAACCCTTCAACGTTGACAGTTTTCAAAGAGGGGTGATGGTCTGTCCAGTAGCCAGGAGATGTGTGTGGCTGATTGCTGTGCACATGGTGTGTCAGGACCTGGATATCCTTCTTGTATCTTTGCCCAGGGTTCACAGGATCCTGTTCCACCCCCTTCATCCCTAGCCTTTCATAATATTGCTGTAAGAGTTTCTCATCTTTAAACAGTGTGGCCTTGAGCTTTCTGACAGTTTTCTGACTTTATATCAGTGGTTTCATAGGGCATGTTTTCTTTTCTAACTTGTTTTCCCCAATTCAGATTGCTCTCCGTGGTTTCTTTTTACTGCTACCTACTGTTCCATCATGCACACATACAAAGAATCAGTCGCTCCTCGTTAGTGTCTTCCTGTATGTGTTTATATTTTGTTTCAGAGATTGCTGTGTTCTTGTCTATCTCCAGGTGTACAAGCGCAGGGTGGCTCTAGGATGTCTGCCTCAGAATGTAACAGCAGGTCACGAGGCATGTCTACCTCCAGAGAGACACAGTGACGTCACAGTCTTTCCAGAGCAGCAGTTGTACTGGTTGTGCTGCTTCTGGCGATAGAAAGGGACCCCGCTGTCCACACACAGGCTGGTGTCCACTATTGACGGGCGATCTCCTTAGGGTTCATTGGGAGTTGCCTTGATTCGTCTGTGGTTCCCTGAGTTCTCTTGTGCGAAGCAGTTCTGTCTTTTGCCATCTCTTCCTCGTTGAGTTGGCTTTCTCTCACAGTTCACTCACACTCCTTTCAGTTCGGTCCCTACAGTGACATCTCCCACGGCCACAGCACGGCGGTCAAAACAACACCTGTCTGTGCAGCCTTGGAAACCCTTGTGTGGAGCTTTCTGTCCGCTTCTGTCCGCTTCATCTTTCCCATCCGTTAGGAACTAGACCCCTGAAGACCACAGGCCAGTTACCTTATAGAATGTCCCGGTGTGTCCAGTGTCTCCTCATCACTGGAATGAGGTGATGGAGGGTGGGCATAGTAGCACAGCCCTGTCAGCCCAGCACTGGGGAGACTCGGGCAGGAGGATTGTGAAGGTAAGGGCAGCCTGGGTCCTAAAAAGAGGATGAGATAAGCAGCAGGAGGGATGGCCCCACAGCTAGGAGTCTTTGCTGAGTAACTGTGAGAACTGGAGTTCAGATTCCAGCATCCCACAGATACCTGGAAGGCCCCCTCTGAGGGATCTGCTGCCTTCTGCTGCCCTCCACACATGTGTGGGGACGCGTACCAGTACACATGTGTGCATGTGTTCATGGACGCATTCACACATACCTACGTAAATGAAATGAATCTTGTTAAAAGAAGAAGAATACATTCCTTGGCAGAAAAGCCACAGCAGTGGCCTTGTGCCCAGACACCATGTCAGGAGGCATGTGATAGCAGCTTGTTCAGTTCCTCGTTTACAGCACTGTCTGGTGGAATTTCTCTCCTCCAGAGTTATCGTTTCCTCTGAGTTCTTCCCTCATACAGCTCTTGAGAGACACTATGAGACAAAGTAACACCTCCTTTTCTTCAACCTCTTTATTTCTGTGTGTGTGTATGTGTGTGTGTTTGTGTGTGTGAGTGTCTGTGTGTGTGTATTTGTGTGTGAGAGTGTCTGTGTGTGAATGTCTGTGTGTGTGTATGTGTTCTCACACTTTTAGAGACCAGAACTCAGTATCTTCATCTTCCTTGATTGCTCTCCACCGTCTGTATTGCGGCAGAGCCTCTCACTTGAGCCATGGCTTACTGCTTTGACTAGTTAGCAAGCACCTGGTTCCTGGGACCCTGTCTGTCTTCAGGGACTTGCCATTGGGTCACCACGCCAGTGAGCCGCTTCCCAGCCCTCCCTCCTTCAGCCTTACACACTATTTCAAAGTCCATCTGGAGAGCATAAAGATGGGGCAGTCTCACTATGTAGCCGAAGGCTGGCTTCAAACTCACAAATCCTCGTGCCTCCGAGTACTGGATTCTACAGGTGTGCACACCAAGCCAGGTAAAGAGGATACTTTCTAGCCCTTTCCATCTGCACATGCTTTCTCACATTCACTTGAACTGCTGCAGAGAAAGCATCAAAAACAGATGATGCCTTTGCTAGGGAATGGGGTGGAGGGACTGTAGGAATATGAGAGAGGCCTAGGAGTTAAGTAGAAGTTACTCTTCAGCATGGAACTGAGTGTTGGACCTTTCCCTGTCAGGTCCTGTGGCTTGGGAAAGGAGGTTCACACCTGAAGTTGAGATGGAAATTACTCTAGTTGTGGAAGGTGTGCCAGGGAAGGAGGGGTAACCATCCAGAGGTTGATTTCCAGCAGCTGCTTGATAAGTTCTCATCTGGGAAGGTCGGTGTAGAGCTCTCTGATCAGGTGTTACCTGCCTCGTCCCACTAGCTACGGCACCTTAGAGCTGGGATGGATCCCTAAACAGCCAGCCTGGGGTTGTTCAGGTATGGAAATAAGCCCAGAAAGGTGGAAGGGTAGCTAAGGCTACTTCTTGATAGTCACTGAGAAACTGAGGCTTCAGATTCCTCTCTGCTTATTTTCCCTGTGCTCATTTACTCGTTCAACATTGAGTGTGTGCCTGTGGTGATCTGGACACCCAAGTCCAGTGCTGGGGATTAAGCCAGGTGCTGGGACACAGCAGGTAGAGCAAAAACTGTCTGTCTGTAAAACCAACAAGCCACAGCCAGGGCAAGGCTGCCCTCATGAGGGGACAGCGGTCAGCTACCTTCATCATCTTCCCGTCATCTGCTTTCAGGCCAGGGTGGCAGAGTTGATTTCCTGTTTAGGGGGCCGTAGGTATATGGTGTTTCATCCCTATACTTCGTACATTTCTTTTAGTTGTCTTTTAGGAGAGCAGCAGCTGAGCAGTGACGCTGAGCCTCTTGCAGAGACAGTGATGCAGCACTTGCAGAGTATGGCCCTCCCACCCTGTGCCCCCCTCTTCCCTGAAGCTCTCAGTCCAGCCATCTGAGTTTTAGGCTCTTTCCCCTCCTGTTGCTTCAAGAGCTGTGTCAGCCAAGTGGCAGCTTCCTTGTCCTCTGCCATCTCAGATATCTTTCCTCATAGAGGAAGAAAAAAGCCTAGATCTGGTGACAATCTTGGCATGTCTTTCTCTCTGAGGATAGGGAGTTGTGGGGTTCTCCCCTTAAGAATCAGCGTTGCTTTGTCCCAGTCCCTAGCACCACATGCTCACTGGCATCTACTGCCATGACTGTGCCTGCGTCCCAGTGACAAAGGAAGATGACCTTTCTAGGCTGTGTCTCAGTTTTGAAAGCACAGTGAAGGGGCTGCCAAGATGGCTCAGCCAAGATGGAAGCCCAAGAGCGTTCCATCCCTGGGTTCCACAGGTTGAAGGGAAAGAACCAGTTCTGAAAGTGGTTCTCTGACCACATGCAAGCCAAACATTGCCATGTACACATGGGGGGTGGGGAGGATGGCAGGGAGAGAATAATTACATCTTTAAAAAATACAGCACAGAGAAGGGAGGGAAGCATGACAGAAGGGTCTGTCATAATATAATGCCTATGGATGGGACCACACCTGTCCTCTGTGTGTGTGTGAATATACGTGTATGTGAATGCTTGTGCCCATGCAGGCTGGGGATTTAACTCATGCTTGCATGGCAAGTGATCTTGCCTACTGAGCTGTCTCCCAGGCCTGTCCACAAGATTGCATTGGCTAGGAGCTGGCAGAGCTCAAAGGCTGGAAAGTAAGCATAGGGCCATGAGCTAGATCTGTTCTGTCCCTCACTCCACAGCACTGGTTTGTTCTGGCCTGGTGTCTGTGACACCTAGTGGTGTCAGCAGGACTGTCTAACAAGTATGCACTACCAATTGCGTCTTCAGACTCAGACTGATGGGGGCCTCCTGTTGTGGCCCAGTGGTCCCCCAGTCTGCACACTATGCAGAGTGGAGCAGAGCTTTTGCTGTGACCATGGAGACCGCACTAAGCAATGTGGACTCATCTGCGGGCCAGGAGCCTTCTCTGGAGTATTGGGAGTGAAGGCAGCAAAGATGGCAGCCCCATCCAGAGACCTGGGAGAGCTGCACCGGCTGCGGCAGCATTAAAGTACGCTTGTGTCTACAGTTTGTGTCAGTGGCAGTTTTATACTCGGCTTTGGTGTGTCCTTTGCTTCCCATCTTGTTAGCTGGCATGTTCCTTACTGTGCATCCCCAAAACAGGTCCTGAGAGGGAAGATGACTAAGTTCAGCATTTGTCAGCTGTTCCTTAGAATGTGCCCTGGAAGTCATGGCAGTCAAATAAGACAAATGGCTAGGTTGTCTCTAGAAGTTAGGTGGCCCTTTCACTCTCACAGGACGGGACAGTTAGCCAAGGACTTTGTGCGTCTGTCTCCTCTGGACTTCTCCGTGACTGTTCCCAACCAGCTGTCACTGTGTCAGAGGCTG